ATTGTAAAAAAAAAAAAAAAAACTACCCTCCTGACTCCCCCGTTTTGACCAAGCTAAAGAATAGATCTTCACTCTCATCATCTACCGGAAGCCCTATATCGTTAACTTTTCAAGGTCCCGGTCTCTTCACCGATATAAATGCCACTTTTTTTCTTTAATTCAGGTTTAGGTGTCAAAAGATTTGGACGAGCCAAAACCAACCAACTCGAATTTGTAGTCTCTTCATGTTCTAGGTTCTTGCTGGCAGGCTCTGAAAAACCCGAACCATCAACTTGTTTACAATCATTACTAAGACCCTCCATTGAAGAAAGATCGTCCATCCTAATGGTACCAGTGTCTTCTTCAGGAGCCTTGTCCAATGTTATATCCACCGATTTATTGTCTAGAAAAACAGCGTAAAGATGTCAACAGTTTTAGATGCCTTGCACGTACAATAATTGTAAAAAAAACACATATTTTTCATCAAAAGCCATCCAAAATTACGAAGGAAAAAACAATGAGATTATTACCTCCAAGAATAATTTCAATGCTTTGATACTCTAGTGTAGATTAAAAAAACCTTGACATATGACATCATCCTTTATTGTCTCTGGTTCACTCATCCTCTTCAGTAAAATGAAGTTTCAAGTTTCCCATACACATTCCAGAAAGACAGCTTGCTCATTTGTTGGGTAGTATTCTCTAAAGACCAACAAGTCATTCAGACGGAAAGACAGTTGCAAGAACAAGAAGATTGAACCAAATAAAGAGCTTAATATAACATATAGAGGAGTGAAATGCCTCGATTCCTTCTTGGTTCAGTTTGATGGACTGCTGCTTCCGAGAGAGAGCGGAAACCATGTTGAATACTGAAACAACATCGAGTAATATCTGTTCAAAATTAAGATCAATGCTCAGTCCAAAGCAGGAAACAGAAGAGCCTTTGTGGTGTAAATTTCATAAGTTATGTCATTTAGGCTTTAGCCACATCCATGTCGGTTAGTCTAAGCATATGGGATCTGCACAGCTCATGCTCTTGTGCATGTGTGATATATGATTTATCCCTCGTTTACATATAAAAAAGTAACTTGCATACCATTGCGTATGAAATTAAGCCCAAAAATTGTGAATACTACATAAACAACATAATAATGACCATAACGACAATAATCATCATAATACTGAGTAATGCTTACTTGTTGTGTTAAAACTCGAAGACGTGCAAGCAGAGCCAACACAGTCATAGAAAATCCCATAAAAAAGGATCTAGCAAGCAAAGTAGATATCTCTCTGGGCAAGGTCAAGGAGACGAACAACTTGAATAATAAACAATCCAAACTAAAACAAAAGAGAAACCAATTCCACATTTCTCACTTGAAAGAGCTTATTTAGCCAAAAATATATGTAGTATCAGTAGTAACATGTGGCTGCACCATCCCACTCTAAAGAAAATGGCTTGAAAATATACAGCTCACTCAATTCCGATTAAAAAGACGATAAAGATGATAACACAATCAAGTGTGTATACTAGACAAGCAAACATATTAGGCAAACGATAAACTTAACGAGTAACGTGGATAAAACAAACTAAAGCATTTCTGGAAGGTTGGATACATAGCTGCTTTCAGCATTGGCTCAACCATCTGCAAAAGAAACCAGAACAGATATTATAGGAGATCATGAATGCAGTGGCGGACGCAGAAAAATATATTGTAGGGGGCACGATAAATTTTTTTTGGACAAAAGCGTCTTCCTTTACTCCCGACAAATTTTTTTGGAAATCCATGACCCCGTGGTTGACAAGGTCCTCTAAGCAAGTCACCAATACCAAATACCAAATCACCAATAAGCAAGAACAAACTACAAAATTAACCTCTTCTAAAGCATTTACCATTTACCAAATCACCAATAAGCAAACAACAACCTACAAAATTAACCTTAATCTAAAGCATTTACCAAATACCAAATCACCAATAAGCAAACAACAACC